GGGGTGGGGCATGTAGAGACAAGAAAGCAGAAAAACACGCAGAAAAGAACGAACGAATGATCTGTGTGCAAAAAGGTTTAGGTTTTTGGGTTTGGGGCCAATTTTAAAGAGGTTTTTCGGAATGGAGGGTTTCGGAAGTTTTTGATTTTTTATGTTTTCAAAACGTTAATCGATCAAAAGCAGGGCAAATATTTATACTAGTTACAAACCTAAAGTATTTACACTGTACACAATCGGAAAAGCGAACGGGCTTACGAACCTTCCGACCACGGCGATTGATCGTGGGAGGAGACAGATTCACAGTAGACGATGACGTCGGAACGACCTAGTCTGTGAACCTAAATCGCTACTCGCTGCAGGAATACTACGTGATTGTAACGCGTCGCCATTATTCATAGCGTCACACGAAGCGTTCTAAGTAGCCGTTGGTCAGCGGCCTCGTCGATGAAAGCTGGTTTGAAGCGATCGGTGGTGACGACTTCGCGTCGGCCACTGCGATCAATAGTGTACGTCTTATTCTTACACTGTAGCACTTTGTGGGGTCCTATGTACGGCGACTAAACAGGCTGTCTAACACCGTCTGTAAGGACGTGTGAACAGCTAGACAGCGTTTCGGGCACGTACACTGGTGTCGTCTGCGATCGAGGAACGAGCAGCCGTAGCTCACGCATCTGGTGAGCCAATCGGTCGGTGTAACTTTCATAGTCAAAGGAGGAAGTAGACGGAGCTGACGCCACTAGTTGTCCAGGCAAACGCAGCGTGTAGCTGTAGACTAGCTGCGGCCCTGTGTTGCGTCGCAGTACGGGTCTTAACAGGTGTTTTCTATAAGCCTAAGAGAACGAGAGGAAGTGCTACAGACCATGAAGGATCTGCGTGCACAACTAGTGCTGCTTCCAACTGGCGATGGAAATGTTCCATCATGCCGTTAGTGGCCGCATGATACGCGTCGTCCGAATGTGACAACAGCTTAAATCCTTAAGCAATGTGGCAAAAGTCGAGGAGAAATGTGACCGTCGATCGGTGGGCACGATGGCGGGACAGCCGTACTGAGTTACCTAGCGCTCAAAAAATGCCTTTGCCGCTGTTTCCGAAGAGCAGTTCGGAATTGGAATAGCTTCAAACCACCTGGTGAATCGGTCGATGCAAGTTAGTAGGTATACCGAGCCTTTCGAAGGTGGCAGAGGACCTATGAGGTTGAGGTGCACATGGTAGAAACGTGCGTCTGGTGTCGGAACCGTGCTTAATGGGATTTTCTTGTGGTTTTGCACTTTCGCGCGTTGACACGGAAGGCAAGTAGCTGCCCAAATACGAACTCACGAT